GTTCTGAACACCAGAATAATTTGAAGTCCTCCCTCACATTCTCCTACCCTGTAACATCCTCTTCCTTCCACTATAGTCTTCTGTGTCCTCCTTGGCTCCTCCCAACACAGCATTTCTTTCAGTCTATCCCATCACTAGCTGTTTTCAGACCTTCTCCTTCATCATCATATTAATAATACATTTAATTTTTAAATGTCTCTGTGCATTAACTAAACAATTTATCCAAGCTAGGGAAACTTACTGAAATAAATCAAAGGAAGGGAAAGAAACCACTCTATAAACCACCATCTGATGCATATAAGGAATAAGAAATCCAACAAAAATTCACACAAACTAAAAGAGAAACAGAAAAGTCTCTGGCTTCGGCCTGAGGAGACCCACAATGTGCTTTTGAGGGGAAAAGTATACCAGAATTGAAGTGGGAACTTGCCTGAAGCCAAGTTTTCCTTACTCAAACCTTTTATGATTATTTATATTTGGGTTAGATGTGATCAGTTTGGCAAATGTTCTGGCCAGTTCTTATTTTGTCCAATTGTATCTCCCATTTCTTGCCTAGTTTCAAGTTTCTAGTCAGGAACAGTGCTTAACTTTGAACTGACAATAGTTTTTCCCTGAAAAGAATATTCTCCTGGCTGGTAGATCTAAAGATAGGCTTATCATACCAGCTTTTTCTTCCCCTTTTAAATATCGTGGCTGTACCCATACATATAACACCATTTTTCAACTCCACTTGCATTCTCCATTTTCACTGGCAGATATGACTGAAGATACGCTAGAATCCTGCTCAAAGCCTACTTATTTTGCATCTGCCAGGTCACAGGAACAGGGCAGCTGAGCAGCATGATAGGATAGCACAACATCCAGTTTGGACTGTTGCAGCTCTCATTTGGTGAGCCTATAAAACATCTTTGAATGGTTAAAAAATAAAAATAGCAATTTCATCTGTGTTAGAATTTGGGTCTGCAAATCTTCTTCCCTTAAAAAAAAAATCAGAAAAATGTCTCCAGGAGAAACATGGTTAGATAATTTCATTTAAATCACCTATATATTTTAGAAATGTGCTGCGGGACAGAGGGCTGGGGTTGTCCTCTCTCCCTAAGGCAGCCTGCATACTGAACCCCTTATCCCCAGCCCCACCCCAGAACAATGATTTAAATGAAGAAACACAAAAGTTATTTGAGTTATGGACCAGAGCAATGCCAGGTAAATCTTCTAATCACGTATATAAGTATCAAATTGCAGATTTGAGTTGGAAAAATACAACTACAGGCAGTACCCGAGTTACGCGGATTTGACTTATGTCGGATCCGCAGTTACGAACAGGGTTTGCTCTGCGTCTCCCTGGTCTGCTGGAGACCAGCAGACCAGGGAGACGGGGAGCAAAGCCTCTGAGGACGCCGGCAGCGGGACAGCCGCGGC